AGAGCTCCATCTCCCGCAAACCAAAACTCAAGCAGTGCGCCAATATACCAAGTGGCGCGCGCAGATAAAATAAAGCCGTGCAAGAGAGCTCCATCTCCCGCAAACCAAAACTCAAGCAGCGCACCAATATACCAAGTGGCGCGCGCAGATAAAATAAAGCCGTCCAAGAGAGCTCCATCTCCCGCAAACCAAAACTCAAGCAGCGTGCCAATATACCAAGCGCCGCGCGCAGAGAAGTCTGCAGGAAAGGGGAAGTGTGCCAAAGTCGCCATGGCGATTGTAGCACAGGTGTGCTAGAGTCACCCTTGTTTATTTACTACTCTGCAAAAAAAGTCCTTTGAAAACTTACGTTTTTCTTTCATAACATTCCCAGCATTTGGACGTGACCTTTTTAAGGATTTTGAACTCGGATCAAGAACAGTCTTTTAATTTTCTGTATTTGTGATTGTCCGAGACCCAAACTGGGTTTTTTTAAATAGTAAATATGGCGGTTTAATCTCTATAAAAGAGTAATTTTTTGATAATACTTTTATTTAGGAGTAGCAATTAAACATTAATAAAACTGGCCTTAACCGCACAAATCAAACCATTATCTGAAAATCAAAGTTAGTTGTGTGATAATTCTTTTGGGATTAAAATTTGTACATTTTAAATAATTCCTTACTCTTGTCATTTTTTTTCAACGTGGCACAGAAAATCAGTTAAATATTAATATGGTAATTTATGTTTGCTTGTTGTTTTTCAAGTTCAACAGACGCTATTCATGCATTATCGGATTTATTTTCAAAGATTATTCTTTGAAAATAAAATTTTTTTGAGAAATGTTTCATGGACTATTTCCTGCGTTAAAAGTAGTAAATTATTCATATTTTCTAAAATGGAAATTCAAGCTTTTTTCGCAAAGAGCGATTTTTTAAAATAGATCTGATGTTGCATACGTGAAAACCTGAAACGTGATACTATCTCAAACACATTAAACTCTACGAATGAGACCTTTTCGCAGAACAACTTTTATAACAAGAACCCATCACATAATGGCATAATTAATCTATAATTAACCCACAGCAAAAATCCAGAGATAATATTCGAACTCAACGTTTAAACAATGGATTAACTTTTACTGGAATTACTTATGATAAAAAATCCAAAATGAATCAAGGTACGTACAGCTTACATAGTAAGATGTACAGTAAAAAGGCACATTAAAAACATTACATTCATCCAAGTTCTTCCTTTTCTTATTAGTGAATAAATTTTTTGTTATTTAAATGTCTCAAGCTGATGATTTAAAAATTATACTATTGAATACCAGACGAATTAGAAATAAACAGGAAATGCAAGAATCTCTCTTAAGATTATGAAATTATTGTCATTATCTAATCCTGGCTGAGATCAAAAGATTATTTTTAAATTCATAACTTCATTGCGTCAAGTTTGACAGAAAAAAGTCACGAAATCAAAGGAAGTGGGATTACTCTCTTTATCAAACAAAATATTCTCTTTAATACAGTGGATCTAAGTCTTGACTTGGGACATTTATATTTCAACCTCAGATAAAATTTTCGACATTGGCATTGGTCAGTAATGTGTAGTACAATGTCTTGATTAATAATAGATTATTGTGAATTTAACTATTTTATTATTTTATTATTTATTAAAAATATCAAAAGCTTTTTACTTTAATTTATTAAACGTTGAGTTATATAAGTATCTGTAATAGAAAAAGTAATAAGTTTCTACTAAGAAAATTATAAAAAATGAAATATGTTTGTTTGGAAGTTTGGCCAGTTTACCAAAATTACTAAAAAAAATATTGTACCCAAAACGTCCATGATGATACTAATCAATTTAAAGCAAGCAAAGGTTTTCCACAAAGCCTTACATTCAACCCAATTTTATGGGCACTTTACACAGAAAAATCAAGCTTAACCCTCAGTGGGTTAACATAAACTTCAATTCACTAATGATGAGGTGCTTTTCATCTCCTTGGATGACACCAAAAAAACCATTGACATCTTAGAAAATAATATAAGTTACACTTCGTATTCCTTGACAAAAAAAAATTTGAAAATCGAATTTAAAAAATAGGGATGTATTATATTTCGTAAAAACAACATTATCCTTAATCCTTTTTTCTTAAAAATCTGTGGAAAGGGAATTTCACCTGCCAAGAGTGCAAAGTTTTTAGGAATGCACCTGGACAATCACCTTAAATGAAACAAACATGTTGTTCGTACGAAATGCATACTTCCGACTATGATTATCAGTAATTTTAGGAAAACATGGAGGGTACAGATCCATCCCTACTAATAATGTTACATGAACGTTTATTCATCCAATTACTCGCTCTAAGCCGAAGCAGAGGCTGCGCCATCTGCAGCATATATCTGGCAAAAATCCTTGCATGAAAACAAACGGCTTAGAGCATACACATATACATATCACTGCTTGTGATTGGCACTTGCACTGAAAGAAGGGATCGTCGTTCTCTCTCTAACTTGCCAATCACAAGTAGCCATATTCTATGAGGCCTTTGTTTACATGCTTTTGTCAAATATCTGCAATAGAGGGCGCACTCTCTGCATTGGCTCGGAGCAAATAGAATATAGTGAAGTCCTCCTTTCGCCATATGCAGAATCCAATTTAAAAAACTACAAACTATCCAAGATTATTGTATTAGAATTGCAGTATTATTTCAAAATATTATCTCAATTAATATTTTAGCAGCTNGAAAAAGAAACTAAAATTGCTTTAAGTGCACATGACGACAAACGTTATTTGCGACCGGGCCACACAGATACTCTACCATGGGGTCATTTTAGCATAATAGCCATGGAAGCAGCCAATAGGGAAGAGCCGATAGAGGGAGGAGCCAATCAGATGGAGGAAGAAGCTGGACGGGTATGCGCAGATGAACAGCTGAGAGTGGAGGGAGAAGTCACTGCAGATGAGTCGCCGAAAGTGAAGGAGGTAGCATCACAATTAGAGGTGTTGCAGCAGCAAGCAGAGCTCATTCTTCTCGCAAGCGGAGGTGTAAATAGATCTCAAGTTGAACCCCAGAAGCTTTTCAACGAGCCATCGTCTTCCTTGGTACGTGTCTCTACAAGTGAACCATTAAGCAAAAACGTCAATATTTCTAAAGGTTAGTTAACAGACATTACTTGAATAATTTTTACTTACATCAATGTATTTTAAATATTATTTCCTTCTGTGATTGTGTTACAGATGGATCTCGCAGCGTTAAACAAAGTTGCTAGCAATAATTTTCTACCAACAAAAAAAGTTACCGATATGGTTCCAAATCAAAATTATATGGTAATTAAGTTTAAAAAAGTGAAAACCAAGTATGGAATAATGATAGTTGCTGAGTTGGCAGATGAGTTCCAAGTTTTTCTGCCAAACAAAATATGTACCGCACTCTTAGAGAATGAAGAATTTTTCAATAAATTATTAGAAGCAGTGAATAAATTTAAATTATTTGTAGTGTACAATGGTGAACATATAATATTTTCTTATGCATAAGTTTGTAAATATTAGGAAAAAAGTTGACGTGACTCAGGCCTGGGAGGTGCGGCTTGTTGGTTGGTGGCAGGTATGTTGCTTGTGACAGCGTCTCCACTCGTGAGATAGTGGAACGGTCTGAAACACGAGGACCAAACCAGTGGTAGTGCCGGTACGATTTGCCGGTCAAACTATTATGCCAATAAGGGTGAAGGGATGATTAAATAAATAAAAGAGGGCGCTGGTGTATAAACAGCCAATCAGCAATCGTTGATCGACGGTAGGCGATCGATCAAGGATTGTTGGTAGAGATTTTTCCGCGGTATCGAGCAAGGAAAAGTAGCTGGAAAAGTTCAGTTTAATTTTTCGCTATCTCTTGTTACGTTTTTTATTTGTGGAAAAACAAGACGAGAGATTCGGAGCAGTATCGAAAGTTACGGTGAGGCTTACAATTTTGTCAGAGTTTTCCTGTAAGGATCTTGTGACCGGAAAGGAAGCTTGAGGGTCTTGGCTGGCTGGGTTCGATCGGGTGGCTGCAGGAGTTTACAAGAGGACCGAAGCCGGACTAGAAGTCCCTTGGTAGCGAAGGTCAATATTAAGCCCGTGAGTACGTTTTATCTGTTGATGAGAGATAGCGGTGGTGGGTACAGGGTACGCGTTAGAGTGAATACGATGCATTTCCGTCTCCTTCACTCCAAGGTAGTGACTTCCTGGGACCAGGTGTTAGTGGCTATACGCGACGCGTGGTTAGAGGAAACTCGGGTCGCAAAGTGCACTTCATGCTCTCCTCGAGCATAGCTGGTAGTGACTCCGGGTCGCGAATAGTGGCTTCGGGGAAAGTTATTAGTGGCTCCCTGGGGGGCATTGTTAGTAGCTCGTTGGCGGGAATTTAGTGGCTTACCAAGGGTTAGCTACTTGATCGATTAATAAGTTTTATTAATAACTGCTGTGCGGGGCACTTTGGGTGGCGGCGTCGGGGTACGACGGTCGCATCGAAGAGGCCGAAGCCGCACAGCAGTACCTGTGGCATTGTACTCGGGCTAGTAGTGTGCGTGTGCTAAACTGACCGGGTACAACGTTACAACGATGACAAGTGGATTGCTAGTAAGAGCATTTTCCTTACTTTTAAAAGATAGACTTTACCCTAGAAAATCAAGGCTTGCTTTACAGCAGGTATAAGTTGAGCCCTGCGTCACTTAATACATGCAGTGCTATAGATGCTTTAGCTTCAAGAGCACAGCCAGGCGCTGCAACGATGAGGGTATATGCATTTTGTACTCTAAGGCGAAGCACGAAAACAGAAATTCGGAAGTAGAAACACCATCATGTGTTAACTGCCATGAAGCCCACAAGAGCATAGACTTAAACTGCTCTGTGTTTAAAGCCCACTACTGAGAGAATGTCTTGATGGTATATGACAACATTACACGCAATGAAGTAAAAAAACTGATATTCGGAACAGCTCGGAAAGAAGTTCCACGGAGGACCAAAGAGAATTTTTTAGAGATCAGAGCTTACAACGGTTGCTAATAAGCACAGTGACGCAGTGGCACAGCCAGATTATCTCAAACCTATGGAAAGCAGAAAATCTCCCTGCAGGGAAGAAAAAACCTAAACTAAACCAACACTACGCATTCAAAATCTAAGGAACAATCAAGCAGTCCAAGTTAACCATGAAGCCAAAGCCTGGATGTCAGACCATACCTAAGCTCAGGCACAACAGAGGCCACCAGAAAAAATCCAAGCCCTACATCTAGTGAAAATTAAGGAGACAATCGCTATGTTTAAAATCTCCTTTAAGGTTGACTTAGTCGACTAGGATTCCAACTCATCTTTGCAAGGAATTTGTAAGAGACAGAGAAGGCTGATGACGTGGAAATGGATGTGTCTTTTTTTTTGAGAGGTGCTCAAAGAAAGGAGAACTTAACATGGGACCTGGTGTGGCAAAGAGAATTGTGGTTCATACATTCACTGGCATTGATAAAGCAGAAAGAGATAAAAGTTTGCAGTCCATCCCTCTAGACAACATTATTCACTTCGAGCCATCATGCTTAAACGAGGAAATTGACACTACCTTACAACTTAAGTCCTTGTCGAAAGATGTACATCTTTTTGTCAACTGCAGTATTAACGCAAGTCATACGTGACTCATACATTGTATTCATGTTTTGTTGTGCGTGTTCTCATGAATTCTAACAATCATGATTGGTAATGTAAAAGGATGTTTACCAATCATTTTTTACAAAGAGATTGTACAAACTAATGCGTCAACCTCAGACGAACTTTATCGATCAATGAAAATCTTAAGTTCGGAAACGTATAAAATCGAGGTTCGGAGGCTAATGCTAAAAAATCGTTTAATTTAATAATAGATTATCAACACATAATTAATAAAGAGCTTATGAAGCTTAGTAGTACCACTGATTTCTACGTGCTCTTTTCTGGAAAAAGTTAGCTCACTTGCTAGAACGTTAAATTATCATCTAATTTTAAACTTAATTGTTGATATCCCAAATAAAAATATTTTCAATGCTACAAAAATAGATCCCTGATTTTTTATAGATAATATCTCAGCAAGCCTATATGCTCTAATAAAAATGGTTATAGAGTTAAAGATCGATATGGATAAGAATCGGTTGGATCATAAGTTGTTTATCGACAACACAAATGGAGATTAAGATTTATACGAAAAACAAGTTTAAACAAAGAAAATTAAAGATGAATAATCCAATGGTATCTTACCCATCCCATGTTGACCAACGCAGTTTTCCGGAGCTTAAGCGTCTCGTTGAGACAAAACTTTTTATTGAGATCCATCTGATTCTCTTTTATCTACAGGATAATAATACGCCTACTAGCAAAGAGCCTTATCCTGGTGACAGGAATTGTATCAGGTCATCTTACTTCCATCAGGGACTAAGCCTAAATAAAGGTGAAGTGACGATCTCATTAGTATAAAAAAATATCATCAAATAGGCCTAGGTACAGGTAAAGTGACGATCTAATCAGTGTAAGAAAATACCATCAAATTGTATAATAATGCTCTTAGATACTGGTAAGACTTCTCAGGCGCAAAATAAAAACCCTTTCTCGATTTAAGTGCACTCAGTCTTAGATGGTCTGAAAATTTTAAAGAGGGCGTAGTTAATGGAACTCTGATGGCACTAAAAGCGGCGATACCCTTGGTTAACTCTGAGGCCCACATGCAAGAAAATCTACTTACAAGATTTTTAAAAGGTATTCTTAGAAATAGACCTACGGCTCCTAAATACTCAACAAATTAGGACCCTACGAATATTTTCAAATTATTGGAATTCTAGTGCGGGTTGGAACTTTGCAGATTAAGGCTCAAGATGACCATGTTTTTTGGCACTTGGATCAGCAGTTACCTGATCAGAAATCTAAGGTGGCTATCGAACAAGTTCACTACAGGCAACCTCGGACCTACCGTTCGGTCCCTCACACTGACACCGTAAGCCTACCTCCAGTACTTCGGCAACCGCCGAACCACTATATCTAATCGGGTAGAGACCAAACTCTAGCCTTTATTAAAATAAGATAGTAAAAGAACATGAGAGATACGGTCAAATGTATGGAGATTAGAATTCAAGATCTAACTAAATGAAGAGCTCAATACTCATATGTCCCGTTTTCTCTACTCAAGAATATGGTTCTCTATATTACCTCAACCTTATGCTCCTATGTACAAAGATTATAAGACTCCTAGAGGTGATGAGAATCAATTTTTTTATCTAATTCTAATCTCCAGATAACTTATCCATTAACACGATTAGTGCTTAACTTACAACAGTCATGAAGGAGATAAGAGTTAAAGCCACGTGTTCATCTCACTAGATAAGACACGTGTCCACTTAAAGAGCCTTTGCATAGTTGTTGATACAATTAAATGGACAGCAAGGTGGTCACAGAATTCTTTTATCTTCTCAAGATTTTATAATAGACCTTTAAGGGTTAGAATTTTTTTTTAGTCAATATCCAGCTGTAAGGCAATAGAAATGTGTTTGATTATCCAACCTAGAGGGGAAGACTAAAACATGTATTTATCAATAAAGAAAATAATATTTCTTCAACATTATGTATTTTAGATGGACTCTAAATATCTACACAGTAAATATCCTCGAATAAGGCAGTGAAGTATAATTATTGAGTAAACGAACTTTTAGTGAAGTTCAATCGAAATTATACGAAAGTCTTGTTCGAGGATATATTATATTCCCTTTTAGCAAAGTCTTTTTTTCCTATCTAAACCCATTATTTTTCAATAGCGCTTTAAACTAAATGAGTAGAGTAGAACAGGGGGGGACTCACTCATGTGTCCAAATATCATTTATTATTTTATTGGGATCTCGACATCTGATACTGAGGTACGAATATCTTCGAACAAGTTCATATAATTTCGATTGCACGTCACTAGACTTTTGTTTAATCAACTATCACAGTTCACAGCTTTATATAATTCCTTATAGTCTACTCATTATTTACATAGAAATTCGAATTACTTACAAAAATTTACATATTTAAAGCATGTGACAAACTTGAGATGACATGAATTTGTGAACTTTCTACAGCAGCCTCAGTGTTTCTTTTAAACTACATTAAATGAAGCATTTTATCAAACTTATAAGACTTAATTTAGTTTGTTAAATAATTTGAAAAAACGTTCCAAACAAAAAAAACTTTAACGCTTTTTACGGTTTGCATTTTTGTTTCAAAGCTCACTTAAGCTACTGTATAGTGTTTTTGAATT